TATCATGTCCAGGGAATCCGGTGAGGAGGTGGAGATGGGTGGGAGGGGACAGGGACACAGGAACATTGGGATTGGGAGGGAGGTCGTTACTGGTGACTTCTGGGACCACTGAGGAGAAGGCGGGGGGGGGGGGGGGGGAAGGAACACAGGGCAGGCAGAGACCAGCCATGGGTGGTCAACCAAGGAATTTTAGGACAGGCGACATGAGCATGCTTCAAGATAACCCAGAAGGGAGAAGTGGCGAGGAACAGAAAAGAGTGAAAAGGATGTGTGGTCCCTCCAGTGTGGGACCCAGGACGCCCCAGGGCTGAGACGCAAGAAAGGAAGGAAGAGATCTCCTTTTCAGTGGCTGCCAGGACACTCTGAAGGTCGCACAAGGGTAAATGGGAGAAGACGGGGCTGGCCCATGACATTTTGGGGTGACACTTTTGAGATTTGTCCCATACACAGGAGGCCACCCAGTCTGGACCTGAATCCTGACCTGAGTTCCTTCAGGGCTCCAGTTTTTGGGACCTGATCTTCACACTCAGAAAGGTGGAAACAGGCTGGGGGATGTGCCCTGCAAGTCTCCCGAACCCTCACACTGGAGATGGTGTGCGTGGCTTCTCACCCCTGACTGGCCTGCTCCAGCCTTACCTTGCAATGCATCACAAACCACTCCACCACTGATTTGATCCTGGACACAGGACAGCATACCATGTATGATACCAATCTTTTCTGGATTGATGAAATACCCATAATGTGGAGAATATCAGGAAGCAAATGCGTATCTCATATCCCTCTCCCCCAAAACCCATCTGGATGAGGCTGAAGTCCTTCTTCAGATAACTCAGCCTTAATTTCTTAAAAAAAAAAAAAAAAAAAAAGTATTTAAAGACAAGATACAAGTAAGACTGGATGTCAAATAAACGAGTGCCCTAGGTGTTTTAAATCCTGCTCTCCCTGCCAATGCGTACACACTAATTCCTAAGTTTAAAAGAAGAAAAAAAAAAGTCTTGATGATATATGTTCCTTTCTCCCCACCACAGAGGGTGGGGAGAAAGGAACAATTTCCACTGCTCCCTCGAGAAAATACGACACTGCAGCCTCCACAGAAGTGGTTTGCTGTAAACCCTCCATTGCTTTCAGACCCATTCTTCCTGTACCTCTACAAACCAGGACCTGACACCTAGCACAGGCAGTGCAGCGCCCTCCCTATGTGATTCAAATCCCTGCTAGTGAGTGAACACCTTCAAAAACGCTTCCCCTCCTTATCTACAACAAGACGTGCAGGCATGGGGAGGAATCCACGGGAAAACAGCTAGGCCAGAGGAAGGCTGGAAGCTCTTGTCATCATTTCTATAGCCACGACCAAGCTTGAAGTCTGTATAAATGCACAGCCACAGGATCCACTATTCCTCAGGAGTAACTCAAGTGCACCCATTACAAAGTGCTCTGAAGACTACAGCCCTCAGCCAAGGTTATCTTCTATCAAGGATTTCTTGAAGAGATAGATTTGATGCCTTCATTGAAATTCTGTAAGGTTGCTGGAAATTTTTTTTAAAAAAACGGTTTTCTAAAAAAGACCCACATTTTTAAACACCAAATGGTGTTTCATTGCTACACTAGTGAGTTCATAAAATCTCCTAAATAAAGCACACGTTTCAGATCATGGATGTGAGTGGACAGGACAGGAACAGATCATGAGGGGCTATTTTCAGATGGGATTCGCCTCTACAGGTGTCCTGCCACATCACAGGGCAAACACCCAACAAGCCCGTAATCCCTCTAAAGACAAATGTATCAGAGAGGGAATGGTGTCCTGTCTCCAGCCATCCATCTCTGTCCACACACCCACTGAGAAGGATGGTTGGCAAGGGTACCAGCAACAGCACATGGAAAGGAGAAGGTAGCTAGATTAATAGGCTAAACAGGGACAAAGATCCTTAAAAATGAAGATTTAATTTACAGCTGCTGACATAGAAAACCATGGAAACCATCAAAGATTTCACCTTGCCAGACACCCGTAGCACACGCCTGTAATCTCAGCTACTCCGGAGGCTGAGATCTGAAGATTGAGGTTCAAGGCCAGCCTAAGGCAGGAAATTCTACAAGACTCTCATCTCCAAGTAACTACCAAAAAGCCAGAAGTACGGCTGCAACTCAAATGGCAGAGTGTCCGCCTTGAGTTAAATAATTAAGGGACTGTGCCCTAAATTCAAACCCAGGGACTGGTACACATATGTGTACACACACACACACACACACACAAATTTCACCTCTATTCCTACAAACAGTATTCTAAGGCCTCATGCAGAAAGAGAGAAAAAGAAAAGCTATAGTCAGTGGATAGAAGGATGCCTTGATGTGCCAAAAGGCTGACTACAGGTCCAACAGACAAAATCTGCTCAGGATAACAGACAGGGAGGTTTTGACCAGAACACCGGTATGGCCAGTTACCTACACACTGACAGTGTTTTCGTGACTAACTCATTCTCTTCAGCTGTGTGCAATGGCTTCATCGTAAGTTGAAACCATATACCTTCAACTTACAATTAGTTAAGATCCACTGAGTCTTGGTGCTCCTTGGGATGTGTGCTTTTGAAGAAAAAAAGATGAAAGATAAAATAACTCATACTGACAAGCTCACACATGCAAAGAAATGGGGCATGTGGAGAAACAAAAAAAGAGAGCTGGATGTAATAGAGAAACGGCATGCCTGGTTACTAACACCGCTAACATCTGTGAACAATCAACATTCTCAATTTAAGAGAATAAAAAGAAGCCAGGTGCCCATAGCTCACACCTGAAATCCTAACTACTCAAGAGGCTGAGATGTGAGGATTGCAGTTCTAAGACAGCACGATTAAAATAAACCACCAAAAAGCCAGAAGTGGTCCTGTGGCTCAAGTGGTAGAGCATTAGCCTTGAATGAAACATGGCAGTGCCCATGCCCTGCATTCAAGCCCCAGTACCAGTACAAAAAAAAAAAACAAAAAACAAAAAACTAAGAATAGCATGAAAGAATGGAAGGCAGTGGAATGGATCTGAACAAGGATTAGAGAATTTCCACATTACAATTACACATGTTGACGAAATGGCATATTTTTCTTTTAAATATTAATGGTAAACCAAAAAAAAAATCCCTTCCTCCACAGTGCTACTTCCTTCAAGGTCGTTTATCATCTGCACAACAGCCTACAGATGTTTTATAAAAAGAAAACTCACAGCCCAGGCTTGCCAGCTCTTACCCAAGCCCCACTTATCAAAGGTGCCGGTCCGAGTGACAGGCAGCTGCCCAGAGACATGCAGCCAACATGACTTTATATGTCCACAAGCCCGTCTCACGCACCAGGCCTGAGCCCCATTAAGCATTCCGATAACAGTACCTCCCCAGAACCCTCGCATGGATGAAGCTAGCCAGAACTGCATAGCTAATTTTAACCCTGTGGAGTTTGATAAGAAATTGAATTTTAAAGCCATCCAGCCACTGCATAGTTCATCTGTCAGGAGAAAAAGATGCCTTCGTGCTGGGAAAAGTCCACCGGGGCTGTGATTATTTGGTTTTTCACTAGGAACAATAATAAACGGTATGGTATCCCTTAGAAGGTTTAGGATACTTCCCACGAGCCAGGAATGAGCCCATATGGTCTGGAAGCCCACAGAGCACAGACAAGGGTGCAGACGGACAGGAATAGACCATGCCCACCTGGCATGCCCACCTGGTCTGCCTGTCCTTTATTCTGTCCTTCCCAAAGCTTCCTCCACCTCTGCCATCCCAACATACAAATGATCCCTTCCAAGAACGATGACAAAGAGCAAAAGAGAAAGAATAGTAATCCTGTGCCCTGCGCTCCAGGAAATCACCCAAACCACCGTTAAACCACCGTTAAGGCTACCTCGTGTGGAAGTTGCTGTCTGGCTCCTATTTCAAACCTCGACCCTCTCTGGGATTCCCCGAGGTTTATGGGGACTGTGGGAGCTGGGGAACCGCGGCGGCAGGAGGTGCAGCCCGAGCAGGGGAGCAGGGAGCCCGGACCCCGCCAGGACCAGGGCGCATCCCGGTGGGGCCAGGTCCAGGAGCAGGGCTGGCAGCCTGCTGGGGGTGGCGGCCCAGCGGCTGCATTTCTGGGCCCCGAGGCTCTGGCCCGGGCGGGGGACGGGGAAGGGGGGGGGCGCGGGTGAGCGGCGCCGAGTCCGCGGGGCGCCCGTGGACCAGGGGCGCCTCAGACAGCGCCGTGCCCGCACGCAGACGAAGCCCCTGCACGCGCACACACGCACATGTGCACGCACACACAGGCGTGCACACGCGCGCGCGCGCACGCGTCCAGGCACTGGGTTGCACTCAGGAGTCAATCAACCAGTGCGCAGGGAATGACACGCTCTAGATGGCTGCCCCCGCCGTGTGCACACGCGCGCGCACACTCACCCGCAGAGCGCCCAACTCACACTCATTTACACCTTCATGCACACAGAGACGCACAGCACACACATTTACACCTTCATACACACAGCACTCACACAGCACACACACCTTCATACACACACACATTTACATGCACACAGCACACAGAGACGCACAGCACACACAGAGCACACATTTACACCTTCATACACAGCCCACAGATACACAGCGTACACACATCACACAACACAGACACACAGCACACACGACACGCAATGAACACACAGCACACAAATGCACATCACACAACATGCAACACACACACAGTCTCCTCCGCTCCGGGGACCCGCGGTCGCCCCGGAACGCGGCACCCGGGGTCCCCCTCTCTCCCGACCTGGGCGCCAGGACCGCGGGTCCCCAAGCCCCCGGGCCCAGCCCGGCCCCGCACTGGCCCACGGAGGCCCCGGCGCGCAGCGGGGCCCCGGCGTCCGCCTGCAACCGAGCCCGGCGCCTCCCCACGGGGTCCGCCCGGCCCCGGGCGCCGAGGACCCGGGCGGCGGCGGCGGCGGCGGCGGGCGGCGCTGCGGTGCCCTCCCCGCGGGCGGCGTGGGCTCACCGTGCGCAGGAACTGGATCTCGTCCTCGCCTTCGCCCCCATCGGCCATGGCTCCGCGGGCCGGGCCGGAGCCGGCGGCAGCCGCCCCTGCGTTGCCGGCCGCGGCCGAGCCGGTTCAGGTCGCGGCGGTGCCGCCCGCCCGCCCGCCCGCGGCGTGGAGAAGGCGCGCGGCCCCGCGCCGCACCGTGCGGGAGGAGGACGGAGCGCGGCCCGGGACGCGGGAGGCGGCGGCCTCGCAGCCCAGCGCTCGTCCCGGGCTCCGGCGAGCGAGTGCGCCCTGCGCGCCCGGCCCGGAGTGCGGCGGCGGCGGCGAACGGGGGCGGACGGGGCGGCCGGGGGCGGGCGCGGGGCGGAGCTGCGGGATCGGCTGCGGCAGGTAATCCGCAGCCCGCGGCCCCGGCACGGCGCGGGGCCCAGCGCCGCTTACCGGCCGCGCCGGGTATCGGGGCGCGCAGCTTCCCACCCGCTCCCTGCGGGGCGCGGGGCACGGGGTTGGGGCGTAGGGCAGGAGCGCGGGGCCGGGGTACGGGACTGGGGCTGGGGCACGGGGCGCGGGGTGGGAGCGCGGGGCCCGGGCACGGGGCTGGGGCAGGAGCGCGGGGCCCGGGGCACGGGGCTGGGGACCGGGGCGCGGGGTTGGGGCTTGGGGCAGGATCGCGGGGCCGGCGCGGGGCCGGGGCGCCTGGTTGGGGCACGGGGCAGAAGCGCGGGACCGGGGCACGGGGCAGGAGCGCGGGGCCAGGACGCGAGATATGGGGCTGGGGCGCGAGACATGGGGACGGGGGCACAGGACCGGGTTGGGGCATAGGGCAGGAACGCGGGGCTGGGGCGCGGGGCGCACACACCCGCTCTCTTGGATTTTTACGGGTGTGTGGTGCCCCCGCTCCTTCCTCCTGGCATCTGCCAGGGGCGCTATCGAAAGGGTGCCCAGCCCGCAGCCCCGCGCCCGGCCCGCAGCCACGTGCCCTACGCCCCACACCTAACCCGCAGCCCCGGTCCCTAAGCCCCGCGCCTGACCCGCAGCCCATTGTCCCCGCGCCTGTGGGCACCCTGAGACTCCAGCGACGAGGGGATCCGCGCAGACCCCGCCTGGCCCAGGTGAGCAAAATGCCCAATGGAGCCATCACCCCACATCATCGGAGCCTGGTCCCGCGCCGCTGCAGGGTGGACGGGTTCGTGGGATGGGCGGAGCCGCGGGTGGGCGGGCCACGGGGGTGGGCCGGGCCACGGGTGAGTGACCCGTGGGTGGGCGGGGGCGTGGGGTGGGCGGGGTGGCGGGCGACCTGGGCCTCGCCCAGAGCCTATGCATGACCCCGAGGACCCCGAGGCCCTCGCTGGGAGCCGAGGCCATCGCAGGAAGCGTCTCCGCGCGGATCAGCACGGCCGATCTCCGCGGGCCGCGGTCGTTCCTGGCGCTGGCTGGGCTGGGGTTCGAGCGCCTCCCGGGACGCGGCCGGTCGGTGCCCAGGCGTACTGGCCGAAGCCCGCCTGCCCGCCCGCGCGCGCCGGATGGCACGGGCGGCCCCGGGCGTGAAGTTCATGCACAGGGATTCCCAGTGAGGCCACAATCGATAAGGTAGAAATCACCCACGACAGGCGACTGACTTCCAGAACCGGCTCATGATCTAATATCAAACCCTTAGACCTTCTGGGCTCAAAATGGTCAAGGTGACCTTGCCAATCAACTGAGAACCAAAAACAGCTTCTTAACACACACACACCAGGCTGTGCCTTCTGGAATTATCCTCGTTTACCTCGGTGGTAGGTAAAAACACTCGTGTTTCCTCTTGGTATTTTAACTCGACTGAAACTTCCTGGTAAGCGCTGTGGACTTCGCAACTTAGAAATACGATACAGAGTTCTAAGCTTCAACAGAAGCGTAAAGGCAGGTTTGAGGATGCACATGCTTTATTTTTTAAAGACAACTAGCTTGGGCAAGAATGTTTGTCTTACACACACACACGCCAGAAGTGGAGCTGTGGCTCAAGTGCTAGAGCACTAGTGTTGAGGTGAGAAAAAAAAATGGTCTAGGACAGTGCCCAGGCCCTGAGTTCAAGCCCCAGGATTGGCGTGCATGCATACACACAAACAAAAGGAGAACTGAAGCAAATAAAGAATTGGTTTAAAGGTAGTAGCTGTCCTAGGTTCTATCCTATGTTAGAGAAGAGATGGTATTTTGTTATTCTTGTATGTGGTTCTATTTCATAATTAAAAACTTGCTGTAATACTTACCAACAACTTGTATCAGTGAAAGTTACAGAAATATCTTACATTTTTAACTTTTAGATGACAAGATTGTCACACTTCTTTTTCTATTGAACAATTGTAAGAAAATTTTATCTACAAGAAGGAAATCTAGTTTAACTGTAATTTTGAGAGAAAGTGAGTATGAAACAGCAATGTCATTTGGATCTAACAAAATTTACATTCCGTTTTTAATTCCTATAGTAGACTTACGCTATAATAAATTAGCAAGTGGACATTTTCATAGGCACCAAAATACACTTCACAAAATGGGGGGGGGGAGTTTACTTTGAGTTTTCATCAGCACCCAGCACTTGACATCTGAGATTTGTCATTTTTATACTACTTGAGCCACAGCTCCACTTCTGGCTTTTTGCTGGTTAAGTGGAGCTAAAGAGTCTCACAGAACCAGAACCGTGATCCTCATATCTGTCTCCTGGGTAGCTCGGATTACAGGCACGAGCCACTGGCGCCAGCCTCAAGTACTTCTCTCAGCAATGCCAGTTAGGAAAGAAGTGACAAGGCTTCAAGAAGTTCCATGCTTGAAGCCTACACAGACAGTGGGACTCCACATTCCTGATCGTGACTCTGTGCTGCTTGCCTGCCTGGATCCTGGAGGAAAGGCCTGAGGAGTCCAGGCCAGCACAGACTATAAAAGGGTCTGGAAGTCCCTGGAGATCGGCCTCTGGTTGTGGGCCCAGCCACGGTCCTGCAAGCTCTTGGAATGCCAAGTGCATTCTGGAAAGAGACACCACTTACAGCGTGTTCAGAAATAAAACCCAGCTTCTGCCTTGGTCTTGCTGCTCGGCTTCTGGGACGGAAAGTGTTTTTCAAGTTTGGAGTTAGGATTCCCTGGAACCCTCTCAGCTGCTTTGCTCTTATCTTCGAGTTGCGACTGGAATCCTGGTTTCCAGGGTGGGTACGGAATGGTAGAGTGCTGGCAAAAGAAAATACAATGCACCTCATTGGGCTCAGTGGAGCCCCAGACCTTACAGATGGCAGTCAACAGGCGCACACTGGACTGCTAAGGACCCACAGAATGGAGACATGTGTCCTGAGGAAGCCTGGGGCCCCCATTCCTGACAGGTGGGTACCACCAGCCTGCACCTCATGTCAGATGACTTGAGGGAGACAGCAGAGGAGAAAAGAGGAGAGGCTGAGTGGCTTTGGCCATGCTGGTCGCTCATATTTTGACATCTAACCTGCATCTCCACATTAAGTGATTCTAATTCCTAGAATTTTTTGTTTTAATCTTCCAAGCTGACTGTGGTGGTTCAGCAGATCTGTAGTATCAGCGACTGGGATGTGGAAATTGGGATGATAATGGCTCCAGCATGGCCCAGGCAAAAAAAAAAAAAAGCTAGATTCCCATCTAAATCCAGGTGCACGTCTGTAGTTCCAGCTATGTGGGATGGATAGGTAGAAGGATCAAGGCCTGAGGTCAAGTCCTAGACACAAGTGGAAGACCCTATCTGGGGGAAAAAAAGACTAAAGCTGAGAAAGGCTGAGGGTACTGAGTGGTAGAGCACCTGCCTCAGAAGAACAAGGCCATGAGTTCAAATCCTGCTATCATTTTTTTAATCACGTAGGATCCTTGACTTTTATCGAAGAATAAGAATTTCTGGACAAGTTACCATGGGAAGAAAACTTGACAGAGCTTTATTAAGTAAACAAGCAGGCAAACAGACTAATAGCATACAAACACATGAGCAGGAAGAGCAGGGGCACACTCTTACAAGAGTGTAGGCTCTCTCACGGGGAGATGGACAGACAGACACACAGCTCTTTGGCTGCTAGGGACATTTATATGGTAAAGGCACGGAGGTCTGACTTCAAAGTTAAGCAAAGATGGGTGTTTTTCCTTTGCCCTATCACTCCTGGTGTTACTTTCTGGGTTTCTGGCTGTTTGGGGGCATTTCTTCCAGGTAAGAATGCATCCTGCCATAAAACGATCCTCATCCTTGAGATAAGCAGGCTCCCTGTGGTCTGCATTTGGGGTAGGAGGTGGCTTAAGTTTGAGGGAAGCATTTTTTCTCAGGAAGGCATACATTCTGCCAGACCTGTGTTCATTCCTGGGGCGGGGCACGTACCCCTCGGGAAGGCCTGCATCCCGTTGTCTCTCTTTGAAGCAGACAGTGCTTCTATGCTTCTAAATGCCATGTTTCTGGCCTCATTTTCCCTAGTCTATCTGGTTTCAAGCTCAGATCCTTCTAGATCCTTCCAGTCACCTAACTGGCTAACCCACAGTGCCTCTGTGTACAACATGGAGGAAATGAAGGGGACTCACATCATATAGCAATGACGGTGACACGGGCAAGCCCAGGTCATGCAGGCAGGCATGTATATATCACTACTTGTGGCTCCTCTTAAATCTAAAGCTGAAATTATATTAACTGAAATAAAATCAATCAGAGGCTATGCTCATGTCTGACTGACCCAGCAGGAAGCTTTACAATCAATTCACAATTCATCCATCCATCCATCATTCACACAGCATCAGTACTGCCTGGTGCTGTGCACTCTACCTGGGATACAGAAGGAATAAGAAGGTCCACAGTGGCACGTGGCACATGAGTGCTGTGGCCAGGATGGGAGAGGCTGGTGAGGGTTAGGGAGAGCAAGCGTCCTCCTGGTAATGCTGTGTGTAACTCAGATCCAGATCCAGGCACGAGAAGCCGCATTTTGAGTGGTTGAATCGGGAGTCTTTATTAAAAGGCCGGTGACCGCATGGTAGACTCAAAGACCAGCAGCCAGCAAATACACTTAACACAGGAAACAGCCCCAAGAGGAAAGAAAGAACAAAAACAATACCAACAAACCAATTCAGCTCCCA